CTCAAAAAAAACCAAAACCCAGGATGCGTTTTTCAGACAACTCCCGCACGCGTAACGATCAGTCTCCTGGCCCCCATTCTGTGACTCCAAAGCTGTGACAGCTCGGAAGCCCCGACCCAGATGCCTGGGCCAGCACTCGGAGGCCGACCCCAGCCCCCCATACCTGCAGGCGACGGTGCAAGAGGTGGGCCGTGATGGGGGAGCAGTAGAGGGGCCGGGCCCAGGTGCTCGACAGCCCCACGGTGTGGTCCGAGTGCATGTGGGACAAGAAGAAGAGCCGTGCGGACCCAGCCCGGCGCAGGCTCCAGAAGTCCACGGCGATGGGCGTATGGGGGATCAGGACCCCGTTCATGGTGGCGGGGGCGGGGGGTCACCGGCAGGATCTCCACGGGGACAGAGCGCGGGCGCGAGGCTTCCCCCACGGCGCCCCGGAAAGGGTCATGCTGGGGCGCGGACAGGGCCAGAGACCCTCAGGGAAGGGCAGCCCCACAGAGGAAAGCGGAACCGGAGCGCGCCGAAAGGGGAAGCGACCGCGCTCGCGGGGCGTGGGGACGGGCGCCGGCGCAGCGGAAGGCGCTCGGCACTCCCACCCGCGCGCGGGAGCCGAGGCCGAAGCCGGCACTCAAAGCGCGCGCGGCCGGGCGGAGACAGCCCGAAGCAGCCGATTTCCGATTCCCGCCGCAGCTCCTCCGGAGGCAGCAGCGCGGCTGCGCCGGGAGGGAGGTGAGAGTTGGGGGAAGGGCATCCTAAGGTCGGGGCCGCACTACGCCCCGCCCCCGCCCGGAGAATGGCAGCTGCTCCGTTTGCGTCCCGGCGAGGGGGCGGGACTTCCTCGGAAAGCGCGATTGGGCCTCTCCGGGACGGCGGCGGCGCTGAGGCGTGGAAAGGCTGGGATTCGAGAGGGCGGGGTCTGCGGTCTGTCGGCCGCGGGGCTGGAGATCGGGCGGAGGGCCTGGAGCGGACGGAGCGATCCGCGGGCGGGGCGAAGTGCCGCAGGTCTGGGGTGGGGCCTGAAGGGTCTGGGGCGGGGGGCGTGGCCGGAAGCGGAGGGCGTGGGCGATCGGAGCGAGCCCGGCTTCCGGTCCGGGCGTCGTCCCGCCCTGAGTGACTCCGCTGCCCGGCGTCTCCCTGACTGGGGTCCCCGCTGGCCTGGGAGGCGCCCGCGAGCGGCCTGACCGTCTGCGGAGCCGCCCGCGGCCGCTGGAGAAGATGCCGTACCTGGGCTCCGAGGACGTGGTGAAGGAGCTGAAAAAGGCTCTGTGTAATCCCCACATTCAGGCTGATAGGCTGCGCTACCGGAATGTCATCCAGCGAGTGATTAGGTATCACCGACCCCTCTCCGTCCTAGCTGCGCCCCTTGCGGTCCCCACCAGGGCTCACTCCCCTTGGCTGTGCTGAAAGAGCGAATGAACCTGCATGCGCGGCAGGTGCATGATTCGGCCTCCTCCTCCTCCTCTGGAGTGCCACCATCTCGGTCTCCCTGGGACTTTTTTGTTGTCGTTGTTGAGTCGGGGTCTCTGTCGCCCAGGTTGGAGTGCAGTAGCACGCTCATGGCTCGCCGCAGCCTCGATCTCCTGGGCTCAAGTGATCCTTCTCAGCCTTCCGAGTAGCTGGGACTCTAGGGGCATGCTACCACGCCTGGCTTACTTTTTTGTTTTTTGGAGAGACGAGGTCTGGCTGTGTTGCCCAGCCTGGTCTTGAACTCCTGGGCTCAAGCGACTCTCCTTCCTCGGCCTCCCAAAGTGCTGAGAGTACAGGCATGAGCCGCCACACCCATCCTCCCTGGGACATCTTTTACACAACCGGGTGGTTTATTCCATATTATGGGCTGGAACAATAACTGCTCACTTCTGGACCTGTATTATGTCTAGTATAGATTTCCTATTTGGTTTTAGACCCACATACCCCCCTGCCTGGTTGGCATTTCCACCGGGATAGTTTATCAAAGGTATGTCCAAAGTAGTATCCACATTCTTCCCACCTCCCCAAACTTGCTCTTCCGCTTGTATTTGTGTTAGTGAGTGTCAGCAACCAGCTAGCCAAGCATGGGAGTCAACCATGATGACACCTGATCCTTCACTTCTCAGGTCAGGTATATGAATTCATAATTCTAAATATCCATCCTCTCTCTTTTATTGGTACTGCTCTGGCTCAGGCCTTCATCAAAGCAATGCAGTAGCTGACTAGTAGGCCTCCTGACTCATTTCAGACAGAATTGTTCCATTATACAAATCTGAACACGTGACTCGCCCGCAGCTGTGGTTCACAGCCTTTACTATACATACAGGTTCTTTGGAGTGCTGCTTAAGAAATGCAGGTTTAGCCAGGCTGGGTGGCTCAACCTGTAATCCCGCGCCTTTGGGAGGCTGAGGTGAGTGGATTGCCTGAGCCCGCGGGTTCGAGACCCGCCTCGGC